GCTTAAATACCACTGTATGACACTGTTTATCCTATTCATGCTGGGATTCTTTGTGATTCTTTGACAAAATTTCTCTGTCCTTCTTGAGTTCCAAGTGCAGTGAGTTTAGACTAAGTAATCTGGCAGTTATAGTAAAAAGGATCATTTAATTTGAGTGTGGGTTTTTTTGCCACACCACCTTGTTTTAGGCTTAGTAGTTAAATAACCATTTATGCTGTGTGTTCAGGAGGTGATTTAGAGCACCCACATGGGGCTTCTGTTCTGAATTTCCTTCCGTGAGGTGCCCTCCATCTCCACTGATGATGCATAAAGAGACTAGGAAGACTAAATGTGACACCCTTTTGTATTCTTGCATTTAATCTAGACAAGTGTGCTTTCGATAGAGAGGAGGAGTTTTGTAGGTACTTCTAGTTTTCCAAAGTAAGCAGAAGAGCGCGATAGCCAAGAGAGATTTGTGAAATCACTGTAAAACTGTTTAAGAATACTTGGTTACACTGTAAACTATACCAAGAATCTTGGTTATATTGTGTGCCTTTGTAATTACTCAAAAGCTTACTGATATAGTTTCTTTAAGATTTTCATCTGCAGCAACAAGGAATTAAGCAGTGAAAATGGAAGGAACTATACATAAGTGAAGAAATGCTGACACACAAGTATCTCCTAAACATATCTGTGTACTGTATTAATCATAATCATTAAATAGAAGAATAAATATAACAAGGGTTGGCTGATAAGGGTGGAGAAGGCTGCAAAGATAATTCTAAAAAGATGTTTTGCAGTGAGGGGATCAGTGCAATTTATATTTTAAACACAAATTAATATACTTGTAACTTGTGCTGAGACCAGTTCATCAAACCTTCTAGAAGGGTTATGTAACTTCATGCTTTCTGATTTTTCTTGTCAGTGCTTGCTTTTAGTGACATTCATGTAGATATGTGAAACCTCCCTTATGTGGACAAAGAATTATATTTAAGGCAGTGATACTATTATTTGAGCTTTGAACTCATTTGGTATCATTTGCTGCTTACTGTTTGACTTCTCAAAATTTCCCACCAGTCCTTAGGCCATGGGGTTTGAATTTAATGGCTATTCTTCTTTTTCTAGCCTTATTTACTTAGACAGATGCAGATGATAGTCTGGGCAGAAAACAGAGTTAATTTAACCAATATGAAGAGCCTATACAGGGTGTTTGCATAATGAAATAATAGTGGGTAAGAAATGTTTCTGCCATTACTACGGAAATAGGCGTGAGTTAGTGGTTTTCTTTTGTCCGTGATTTGTTTTATTATCTTCCAGAACAGAACAAGGAACTGCATTCTTTGGGCTCTTTCTGGTATTCTATTGATAATTACAAAAAATAATGTGCTCTGAATTGAGTTTTTGATGGTGCAGAATACGAACGCATCAGAAATAGGAAGTGAACATGAGAGTTGCTTAGAACTGAGCACAAGCAGTTGTGTGAGAAAGATAAATCATGTATTTTTAATGTGCATAAACCCAGCTTTTGAGCACTTCATGTATTTTGCAGCATAACATTTAAGATTAGAACATTCCTGGAATATGTAGTAGTATAATGTTTTCAGTGTTGAACATGGTCGTTAGGGTATTTTGTGCAACAGATCTCTCATTAGTTATACTTTCCTTTGAATAATAACTGTGCCAAGTGGTTGAAATGAGACAGTACTTCCCAAACCTGCATGAGCAATTTAGTAACAGAAACCAAGTGGAAAATGCTTTTAGTCTCTGACTGTCTTTGCTGAAGTTGTGACTTCTGTCTCTTTCTGTCATGCTTGTCTAACAGATTTTATACAGCAGTTAACAGATTTTGTGCATCAGTTAGTCAGATTCCTGCTTCTGTTTGTGGTCATAAAATGTTTGTGCAGTTGCCTTGATGCTCTTGTGTCAGTCCTGCCTGATCCGAAGTTCTGACTTGATCCCTTGGGCTTTCCCCTATTGTCTTTGCCTAAGATTGTGTTTGATATCAAAACTCTTAAAGCAGAATATAATGTTGCCATTAATATCGTAGTTACATATAGCAGGCTAAAAAATACGTGGAATTAGTAGATTGATAAATGTTTGTGCCTTGTTTTCAGCCTACCTGGTTGTGGAGCATCTAAAGATTAAATAAAACCCAACTTTGGATTCAGTGTTGGCAGGATTAAAAGTTTCAAATCTTGAAGATGGAAAGTTGAAGTTTTCTCTTTTGTCTGTTTTTCATATCAGAATAGACACTAAATACAACTGAATTATATAAAAAGTGGAGGGAGCAGAAGAGTGAGGGAAAAGGGATAAGAATCAGGAAGGGAAGATGCAATTATATTTTTTGCTGCCTATTAACACATGCAATTGTATAAGTAAGCTAGGCTTATATAATTAAGGAGTTGGAATATCGGTAGGAGCATGATAGGTGTGGCACATGAAAGGACAAGTAATCATTAAACCTGTGGAAAAATTAAGAACCATGACTGTTAAGTACAGTCTTAATAAAGACTGTACAGTAGATAAAATTCAAAATTAATAAATTGGCTTATATGGCAAGGTAGTAGTGTATGTGGCCTCTTGGTTGTTTCCCAACGCCTCTGAAGTGGTTCTCCGTGATTTGGAACTGAATGTGAAGGATACTTGATGCGTGCAAGAGTGAGATGGTACCTCTTGTGTTCTGATCAGATGTACTGAACATCAGATGTGTGCATAACGCAGGCAACCTGGCCTATGCCTTGGGGAGTTTATACCCTAAATCTGGGAAGTTGGATCACTTTGTGGAGGAAGATGAATTTCATCTGGACTGAGCTAATATTTAGGATGGGAAGTCTTTCTCAGTGTAGTGTGGCTCTACTGTTGATATCAACTGGATAATTGTACAAAAGAATAAAAAGAGAGTTGTGAACATGATAATTTTGTTATGTCTTGCATTACTCGTGGCAGACAGGTTTGCTTTTGGTATTTCCATGAATTTTCTTTTCCTTTCCTCATCTCTGTGTTTAATTTTGTTCTTTATTTTTAATTAATCTTGTTACTGTTTGTTACAATGGCTGTTGTTCATGTTCTTCCATGTGTGGAACAGCTCTTGGGTTCCTACCCTGTGAACACCACTGGTCACATTCCTAAGCAAATCAGAATGAAATATTCGTGTTGATCCAACATTGTGCCTAAGATATAAGTAATTATTGAGAATTGGCATATATTCCATCTGCAGATTCAGAAGGCAAATATTTTAGGAGAAAGGTCAAAATATTACTTAATAGCGTTAGGGTTAACATAGTGTTTGTTGGCTTTGTTCCTTTAATTTTGTGACCACTTTGAGAACCCTGCAAGACAGAAAGTGAGTATAAGCTCTGTTTAGCTATAAATTCATGTACATACAGTAACTGCATGTGTTCTTGCAAATGCAAAAAAACTCTAAGTATTTTTTCTTTTTAAGAAAGAAAAAAACAAAACCACCATGTCTGTCTGAAGACAGACATCTGGCATTTTACCCACCTTAACTTTCTAGGAAATAAATACTAAATAAATAAAGTGTAATAATACGGTTCCAGAACTGCTCCATCCATTATTAATAATTCTATTATTTGAACTCACTAAGTAAAATAAATCCTATTGAATGTTTTTGTTACAGTCAAGCCGATCATCAGTCATTCTTGTGCCACTTTGTAATGTAATCTTATAGATACGTGATAGACTTGGGGAAAAAAAAGATGGCAAGAGCCTCTCTCTTGATAGTGGAAGATGGCAATATTTATAGTTCTTTCAGAATCTGTTAAAAACATGGGGCTTACCTTAGTTGTGGGCCTGGGAATATTGAGAGAGAAACAGAGGGGAGAAGTAACGGACAATATTGGTTACGCTGTAGGGACCAATCCTGCAGCATAGCTAAAACATGGATGCTTAGATGAAATTAAGGACTGTTCTGAAGATAACCTGAGTATATTTAAGAATATGTTAGTGCTGATTATTAATGCAAGACTTTAATAAAAAGTAAACAAAGAAATAATTGGTGAGGGTTGCTTTCAAATCCAACTTGTTGAAAATACCGTTTAAAAAAGTGTTTAACTGACTGTTCACATTTGACACATATGCATAATAAAAATAGCCCGTAGGTACTGCTCTTAAAACCAGTGGTACAATCTGTTACGCTATGAAGAGATTAAGAGACATTGCTTTATGAAAGTCAGTATATGTAGGTCACAGGTTTTTAGTATGTTCAAAGGCTCTTTGTGTTTCAGAAGTGTGATTTACATCTTGTTGAAGCTGTTAATTTCTAAAGAAATTATTGTTAATTCTACTTCCATTGAACTGCTTCAGGTTTTTACTTACTATTTTTGTGTGTATGTGCAAGATGGAAAGCTGCTAACAGTGCTTTCCCTCTCTGTCTGGAAAACTGCATCTGTTGTTCTGGCATTTAACTGATGCTTTCCTGTTGTGATGGGTGCTTTCCATCCCATGTCATAGTTCTGTCTCTCACTGATTTCTGCAGAAAACACAAAAAAAATCTTTTGAAGGGCTTTGGGCACAACTTAAATCCATATTCTCGAGCTTCAGCTTCACTGAATAAATATTTCCAGCCATGATTTATTGATACTGCCAAAGATCTGGCATCAATGAAAGGAAGTAAAAATGCAGTCAGGATTCAGGCAGTTGTGTGCGTCATGTTAAAAAAAAAAAAACTCTGAAACGTGAGAGGTAAATTTGGTTGACATGAGCTGAGTCAGCTATCCTTATTCATTTTTTAAGGTCGTTTATTGTGTTAAGGCAATACTTTATTCTAGAAGACACTATTAATTATATGCTTGGACTTGTATCTTTGTAGTTCAGAAATGAGTTCATATTTTATCTGCTTGCATTCTAATTTTCTAGTCAAGACTGCTAACTATTTAATATGCTGTTCACTGTATACATTGCTCATAGGGAGATGCCTAAGCTTTCCATTGGAATGGACATGATTATCTAAAAGGTGCTTTGTATTAATGTTTTTGGTTTTTTCTTGTTTGTTTTTTTTTTAGGTCCATTTTCCAGACACAGAGAGGGCAGAATGGCTCAACAAGGTAAGGGTAGCCATTACAGTTGGTTCCAGATGGGAAGGGGGAGGAGGGAAATCTGAGGTTAAAAAAACCTAGTAAGCCAAGAACCTGAGAGCAGAGTAGTTTTAACTTTCTGTGCTGTTTATACACTTGAGGCTTCTGGCTGTTGATCCAGTTAGTCACAAGAAAGGTTAAATCTAAGTTTTGGAGAATGACTTTAAGTGGCATTAAAATAATGACAGCTATAATTGTGTGGAAGTCACAGCAGCTGTAAACAGTCTTTTATGTTCTACTTGTCTGGGATACTTTCCAGTTACTGTAGGATTCTGACCTACAATCTAAAAATAAATCAGTTTTTCAGTTTTGCTTTGTATGTGTGATAATCTGAGATAGAGATCTGTGTAGCTTAGGTTTTTTTGAAAAGATCTGTCATACAAAGAGCATAGAATGTGAGTTAATTAGAAAACGGTGAGAAAAAAATAAAGTATATGACAGTAACATACTGTAATTTTTATAGACCTTATGCATGTATTTAAGAAATGCACGTGCCCCATTTTTTCTTATTCTTCTTTACATGCAAATAAACTTAGTCTTCACCCTTCTCCCCAACATTCATCATCATTGGTGAGTGCATATGCATTCGTGGGGTACAAGAAGAAAAATCTTAATATTGTCTTTGTCCTGCTGCGCTTCAGATTTGTGCAAATGTGTAAACCTCATAAACTGAGAATTCCAGAAGGCTTTCCTGTATGTAAGAAGGGACCAGTTCTTACATCTGTAATGAACTGTATAGAAAACTTGCATGTTTAAAACTTTGTGCAAAACTTTCTACACGTGCCTTGAAGAATACTTTTTAATTATGTGTGAATCTGTGTTCCATGTAGATTTTTTTTTTTTCCCCTTAGACTGTAAAACAGATGTGGCCTTTTATTTGCCAATTTATTGAGAAACTTTTCCGTGAGACCATAGAACCAGCAGTAAGAGGATCAAACAACCACCTCAGTACCTTCAGTTTTACGAAGATTGATATTGGTCATCAGGTCAGTGTCTAGTGAAGTCTTTCTAACTTTTCTTACACACTCTTAACAAAAATATTTCTTGGTGACACTTGGTGGTAAGCCTGATTCTGGTTTCTGTTGTAACATTAAAATAAAAATATGGGTGGCTTTTTAGCAGAGGCTGAATTATTATTTGTTAACTTTTTTTTCCTGGGGTCTCTGCTTCAGAAATTTGCCTGAGAATTGGGAGAAGACTTGAAGTAGAGTAACTCCTAGTCATGTGAAGAGCTTATAACAACATGATTTTAATACTGTTCATGTAATGCTAAATTTATGTTAAGTGAGCAGGGACCACTATCCTTTTATTGTCAGATGATCCACGTGCAATTAGTTTTGTTGCAACAGATGAACTTTTAATCATGTTATGTACCAAGTCTGGTGACAAGGCTGCTGGCTCAGCTTTCCTAAGGACTGCACATAACATGGTATCATGGAGCAGATAGGTGTTTACCTTCTGTTTGGTCCCATGAAAGAAGGGGTCATAGTGTAGAACTCTCACATGCCGGCAGAAGAGCCTGTTTGTCCAGTTCAAGGTAAGAATGTTACCTCTGCTTGCACTAAGCTCAGCACTACTTACTCCTACCTGTGTCAGTCAGAACTTTACTTCTTTTGAGATGTAGCTTGGCAGCTTTTTTTGTGAAGTTGTCTTTTGTGTTCTGATTGCTTGGCATAAATGGGATTTTAAGTAAGAACTTAAAAATCTACACCCCCACAGGTGTTGGGAAGACAATTAAAATTTCAGGTGTGATGGAGGGGAATTATTTTTCTCTCTTTGACTATTTCATGTATATTACAGTTCATTATACTTTACTGCACCTTTTGTGTGTTTTTAAAAGTTGTAAATCCTTTTTCACAGGGGCTCTGTCTTGCCCTAGATACACCTGTATTACAGACTGTAGAACAGCATTGCTTTTAAGCCACCTTCATTTTAAGTAGGGATTAAATTAGCTTCCACACCTCCATATGCTTCTGCAGCTGGACAGAGCAGAGTTATCTCGGGCACAAGAAACAGCTATTCTGTATATTGCAGCCTTGGTTGAGTTGTGTCCTGTGAGATGCGCAGCCCCACAGCGGGAACCTGAGAGCAGCGAGATTTCAGTTTTACTTAAATTACTAAAAAGATATAAATAGAAATATGGTAATTTTTCCAGAAAGGAAAAATTCAAAATGGGGCAGGAGATGGTTCTAAGAAAGGTCATTGGCAGCCTTTCCCACCCAGTATTTGATGAACGTTTGAGTCTTGGGCAGGCTTGATTGATATGTGTTGTTTCTGTATGATTGAAAAAAAAGAAAAAGAGGATGTGCAGAGTGGTTTACATCAATGTTGTGGGGATTATGTATTATTTTCTGACCATTCCAACTAAACTCCACTTAGGGCAACTACATTTTTGTGACCTAAATACACCTAAATATATTCTAGTTGCACAGGAAAGAGTACTTTGTCTGGGAGTGTTAGACATACTAGTACGGAGAAATGAGATATTTATTGTGGGGAGAGGGAAAGCTTGATATGAAATCTTTAGTGAATCTTGAAATCTAGTGGTCTAAACCCAGGGTAGTTGCAAAAAAGGTTATGGTTGAGTGGATCCTAGCAAGGTAATTTTGACCCTTTAAATAATGTTTTGAGCTAAGCTGAGAGCTTTGCTTACACCTTTTAATAATACTTACAGTAAATTCTTAACTTCAGGTATAAATATGGGATATTCACCTGTATTTCGAAGTTAAGAGTTTAATATGGTATGGTTCAGTAGAAGGATCCAGCTTTTATTTTTCATTGTTTCAGCCTCTGCGGATAAATGGTGTAAAAGTGTACACTGAAAATGTGGACAAAAGGCAGATCATTTTGGATCTTCAAATCAGGTAAACTGCATTACGATATCATGATGGTGCACATGCTTGCTTTCTTCAGTTTAGCAGTCATGTTGGCCTGGAGGAGAGCAATTGCTTCGTTATGCAAATGTAGTTAGTTCTAATTGTGCATGAATGGAGGAAGGAACTGCATGCTGTAAATAAACTATTTCCCTCAGATAAATGCTATCAACCCAGTGTGACTGCATCATTAAAGTCATTTTGGTTAATAAAAAAAATCATTTGCAAAGCTAAAGCACTGTCTTTGAATGTTTTTTTCTAATGTATTATAAATTTGCCATAAAGTTTAGTCTAAAAGTTAGGATATGTTTGGATTTTTTTTACTTTTCTGTTACTTAGATTTTTTTTTTTTATAAACACAGTATTAGAAATAGAGAATGATAGCTACCAAATTAGTTGTGCTAATACCGCTAACTGAAGTATTACAAAATGCCAGAGCATCTGTGTTCCGCTGCTTCAGGTTTCTTTGCCCTTTCATCATGACCTCTTTTATATAGGTCTATAAATAGATCTACCCAATGTTTGCCAAAGTCCTTCTCAACACAACTTGCAGTTACAGAGTTTTTTGGAAGTACAGTCAGTGAATCCAGTAACCCTTTTACATTTGACTGTCACAGGTATGTGTTACAGTGACTACTTACGCCTGTTTGTAGCTTGTGGAGAGGCCAGATTTGTCAGTCACTGACAATCCAGCGAAGAGCCTTCTGGGTTTCTTGCTGCTTCCCTGGTAGCTACCAGAAGGATAATCAGGCCTCTCAGCTTCTGTTTCCAGAGTCACTTCCAAATTTTCAACTTGGTTATTCCTAATTTTGAATTATTTAGCTAAATCCAAGAAAGACTCTTTCTTTCTCAAAGCTGGGACCCAGAGTGATAACAGAAAATCCTGCTGCATCCTTTCCTGAGCTTCAGAGACACGTGGGGGGGCTACATCTGTGAGAAGGGCCCAATCTTTATTGAATTGAATGACTTGATTTCTGTAGGAAGAAGAGAGCTATCCAAATCAGGTATTGGTGTGGCTGGACAAAATATAGCAGGACTGTCTTCTTGAGAGCTTGTTTGACTGGATGGATGCTAATGGAGAATGGAGAAATTCCCTTCAGTTTTTTCTTTGCTGCCACTTTAATAGCAACTGTGAGAACATTCTCACCCCTTCAGACTTAAGCTGTCAGGAAAGCAGGCTTGTCTGACTGCTGTGAACATGGTGCACAGAAACTGTTTGAGAAGCTATTTTTGAGATATCTGAGGAGCCAAGTCTCCCAAGACCAGTTTTTCCCTTTAAAGCAGTATTATTTCCACAAGAGGAGAGGGTGTTTCTGTGGTGGGGATTTTTGTTTGTTTTAATCTTTTCTTTCTCCTGTTCACCTTCATGAAGTAGATTGGGACAAATAAACGTAAAAACAGCAATAGGTTTGTACAAAAATTCTAGGAATATTGTCCTGTTACCTAGACCAGATGAAATCTTTACCCCTGTGTCTCACTGCATTATGTTGCAACCGACCTAGAGAAGTGGTAAGAGCTGGAGTAGAATGCAGTCTAAAAGGCTGAAATAAATTCCTTGAAGGGGTGTAAATAATGAGAATAGTGCTGAGTCAGCTAGGTGTCCCTTTACAACAGCCTGTCTCTATACCAGTGGCATAGTCTTCCAGGGTGCAGATGGGAACAGAAGAGCTATGGAGTGACTATCACAGCGTCTAGCAATTGAAGCTTAGACAAAACCACCATCTAAGGAAGTCCATTTCATGTTTAAGACTTGTCCTTGACACCTTCTCATTGGGAAAGGGCTCTTTTTCAGAGGCAAGTTTAAGACATATGGCACTCTGTATTGATTGCTACTGTTTGATGTATTTGGGTTGTTTTCTATGTGTTCTAAGGTTCCAGCACAGAGATTGTTTTAGTAGTAACAGGAAGGAAGATTGAGTCTCTGTGATAAATGTTCTTGGCATGTTTAGATAAGTTATGTACAAATACCAACCCTGAATTAATTCTTAGGGGATCAACCTTAGTTCAGGTTTGCAAGATTATAAGGAACAGTCTTATGGTTGGAGAAAAGTCTGTCCTTCGGAGTATTTATCTTCACAGATTGCAATCTCTAGTTAAATTAGTTTGTTCTAATTTTAATTTATTTTTAAATTTAAAGTTGGGAACTTTCTATAAATGCTTCATTGCCTAAATACAGTTGAGAAGAAGAACAATTTCTCTAAGCATTTGTAAGAATAGCAGTACTAAGACAAGCCCAGGGGGTGGTGTGGTGGGGGAAGGAAGAAAGAAATGCTTTATTTTGGGTTTGGTGTTTTTTTTTTTTTTTTTTGTTGCCAAGTACGTTCGTTCATTCTGCTGTTTCGCCATTGTGGCTTCCTTTAGCCATCGTTACTGTCAAGTTGTTTTGTGACAGCGTATATGCATTTGCTTTGGCCCTTTCAAGCAGTGCATCTAAGGAGTTTCTGTGTGTCTCCTAAACACTTCAGTATTTTTTGCATCATCTTTGAGGTTTTTTTGGGGTTTTGCTTTTAAGTTTAATTGCAAAAGGAAAGTGTTTTGGTTTAGTTTTTATAGTTCCTTCAGGGATACTGAGTACATTATGATCATTGCTTCAGAAGGTTTTTCAAAACTACTTCAGACAGGTCCTGTGCATTGCTCGGCATCCAATTAAGAACTCTACTCTTGTAAGCAGCTTGTCTAGCTGATCTGCAAAGCAGTTACGGGAAAGTGTATTTAAAGATTCAATTTCAGGACCACATTTGCAAAGGGAACACTTTACCTTTCTCTTGCTTTATGTTATTTACTTACGTTAGCTTTATGTTAAAAAATTGTCAAAACGGATGTTAAAATTTAAAAGTCAAGTTTCTGGTGACTGGGGTGTGCAAGGGAAAATTTTTAACTTCTTGAGCAAATAAAGATAAAGTCTAAATAATTTGTTAATAAATTTGCTGACGTGCATGAATGTAGTAAACATTTGGGGAAGATTCAAGGTTATGGATCAGTAGAAAACAAGATAAACTGTCAAATTAAATGCTGTAGTAAAGAAAGCCAAAAAAGATTGGGAGATTGAAGAAATATTTGTTGATAGCATATAACTGAGTTTTTCACCTTCTCGTCACACAAAAAATAGAGGCACTCACAGAAAGTTTTTTGTTTTCATATGGCATGTTAGAATGGAGAAACTCACTATCATTGTACTGGCAGAAGTTGGAGATTAAAATAGTTTAAAAGACCTTGTAAAGACCTTCTAAAAATAATGAAGATAGTATAAAGTACAGAATCACAGTTCATTGTAGTCTGGGAAATCTGTTTGTCCTGTTCTTTCTTTGTTATTCTGGGCATCTTCTGTGGGCTACAGTGGCCACATGCAGTATTTTGTGCTTCTGGTGTGCTTCAGTACAGCTGCTGTTATGGTCTTACAAGATTGTCCTCATTAAGCTGTAATCTATCTCAGTGATCTGTACATCACAGAGGTCATAAATATTTCTGGGATATTATGATCTGAATGTATACAATTTGCTTACTAAGTGAGCCTTCAAGTTGCATGTTATGCTACAGTGGAGTTCTATGCAGCTTTTACTGTTAATGGATCCAGCCAAATATCTTATGGGATAAACCATTAACTTTATAATAAGGTTAAAAATTGTTGCCTTACTACTATCAAATGCAGTTTCTTCCTATTTTTACTTCAATTTGTCATCATGTTATTACAGATTTTCAAATGGCCGTAGTGCTTCCCAGTCTTCATAACACAAATAGTTCTGATGCTGCGAAGTGCCAAGATTGAGGTTTCAACTGCGGTTCTAAACTGACCTTGTGCTCTGTGTCATGCTGTTATGTAATTTTATATATATATATTTGTGTGTGTATATATATCTCTAATCTCTCTATATAGATAGGTATAAATAGCAATTACACTGTTTTAAATCATGTATTAAAAACTATATACCTATTTTTAAACTGTACAGTCACACTACATTCTTTCCAGGGACAGCAGTGGTCACCTTCCTTTCATGTAGATCCCTGTTATGTTGTCCTCTAGTTCCCCAAACTGGTCATTGTACCAGAATGACTGTGCACGCTGATACCTTTTGAATACTCCAAAATAAATTCTGATGTTGGACACGTACAAGAATGTCTCAGAACTATTGTTTGCTTCTGTGTAAGGGATTGGTAAAGTTTGCAGTTGCTTGAAGTCCCCCAGACAGCCCCATCACACACAGAGCACAGAAGACTATGCAGAAGATTTGAATAATGGGTACCCTGAATGCAGCAACCCTCACATTCATTTTCCTTTATATTACCTTTTGGCCATCATTTGTCAGGGAAGGGGGCAAGGGTCCTGCTTTTCTGCTGTCTGTGAAACTAATTTGTCTTGACTTGATCCTAAAATGGCCCCATGAAGTGCACAACTCCATTTTGTTTGGGATTTCTCAAGGGTTTCTATAGTAAGATTCTATCGTGCATGAACATGGCTGAAGAGTTTTTCACTCTACAGGCTAGGTCTGAGGAATCTAGCGAGGAAACTTAGACTGTACCGCAGAATCTTGAACAGGGTGTCCCGGTGAGGAAACAAATGCCCCCGCCCCCTGCAGTGTCTGTCTTTTATTAAGCTGCTTTATCTGCCCACCTAGTTCCTTCTTCCATTCAGGTTTCATTTGTCCTTTGCTTATAAGCCGTATCTTCCTAGCCAGTCAGCTTGTCCAGCTAGTCTCTCCCTAGCTGTGGCTTGGTATTAAGTCTGTTGGTTTTTGTTTTTCTCTCTCATCCGGTAGAATTACTGTCTAATTCCCTTTCTATACCACAGGCTCAAGCTTTCTTCCTAAGTTCCTTGTTGAGTATCAGTAGTAGTTTGTTTTCAGACCCAATGTGTCTCACAGCAGCAGTTCTTGGAAAAGATCTGGTCAGCTCTGCGTGGAAAAGCTTGACCTGGATGAAGCCTCAGCAAAAGCAGCTGCTAAACTCGAGTTGTGTGCCACTAATCTTTTAGCCTCGTAGCATGGGCAAAGTGTGTGGGGCTTTTCTCACCATCATCTACAAATCTGTCTCTGAGACACAGGGAGGTACCTGCAAAATTTCAAGCCCTTGACCCAGTAAGGAGTGCCCCCAGAAACGGGTTGCAAGAACTGCTCAGGGAAAAATTTGCATTGTTTTTAATATAGTATTTTCTAATTTGCTTCCTGCCTCCCCTCTCCGTTCAGGAAAGGGCTCAACTGTTTTTGGCTTACAACTTGCTTAGCGGATCATCCAGCTCAGCATGCCCAGCTGATTGAATTTCTAAGTATGAATGGTTTTGCAAGTCTGAATATTTCAGACAACTGATTTTCAGCAAAATAATCATCTCTGTCCAATGCTCATTGTTATTATATTAAATGAGAGTGGGTTTGGGAACTTGTACTTTCAATGAGACCTATGTAGAAGTTTGCCTGAAATGAGGCATGAATTCTGTTTCTGTTATTTCCCAAAAGTAAGGCTACCTGTGTTTTCTCTCATGAATGCTTCTGGAGATGATAATGTCTGTGTTAATTCCTGAGTGTTTTCGAGGACAGTGGTATTTTGAGGGGTATATAATTTTTTTAACAATCTTGCCTTTGTTATATGTTGTAATGTTTTTAATGTGTTTTTTTTGTGTATAGACTGAGACACAAAGCTGTCATCACAGTGTGGTATAGAACTGACAGTGTCTTGCAGTTTAGTCCCTAAAAATGAAGTGTATACTTTCTTTCTTTATTAGTTTTGTTGGAAACTCTGAAATTGATTTGGAGATCAAGAGATACTTCTGCAGAGCTGGTGTGAAAAGTATACAGGTGAAATTCAACCTCATTTCTTTTAATTTTGACATCGTCAATTTTGACTTTGTCAATTTTGACATCATTTTATGATGAAATAGTTTATGGAATTACTGGTTCATTCTTATAGTTTAGTTAACTAATTTTTTCTCAGTTGCATAATACTCATATTGCATAATAATTTCAGTAACATCTAGCTGATAGGGTAAATTTCTGAACTGTTTTAAATATGTAACATATAGCATACATAATACATTTATATATAACTATATATTTGTATTTGTAATATATATCATTACATGATAACATTTTCTATTGGAAAAGATGGAGGTCATTTCACATTAAGCCCATGTTCATGTGAAGTGTGGGTTCATAAAGGGAATATGGAGCTTAAAATTTTGTTTTATGTAGTATTTCATTGTTAGATGCCATTACTGGTTTAGGTGCAGTTATTAGTAGTAGCCTTTTCTGATATTGTTTCTCAAATTTTCTTAACTTTCTGATAACAGATCTCTTTCTCTCTACCGAGGAAAAACAATGTAATTTTTTTGTGTCTTGACATACCTGTAAGCATTTACCTACTTTTGTTCTGATATCTGTGGCTGGCACTGCATTGGTTTGGGCCACACTTACCTACGTCGAGATGTATAAATAAGCTGTGTCATAGTTTTAGCAAAACTACCAGTAAAGTGATGCAGCATCATGCAGATGAATGTAATGAATTTGTAAGCTTCACTGTTTAGTGCCTGTGGGTTGTTTGGTTTTTTTTTGTTTTGGTGGTTTGGGTTTTTTTTTTTTCCTGGGTGACATTTTAAAACTGTGTATGTAAAATTCTTCAATAATGAAGAAATTAAGGAGTTAGAAGTGTGAGCATTGCCAGTGAAAAAAATTTAAATAAAACTTGAACTAAAGTCAGTTCCATTGCCTTTTTTTCCTCCCCTTCCACAGATCCATGGCACTATGAGGGTTATCCTGGAACCACTAATTGGAGACATGCCCCTAATTGGAGCTTTATCACTTTTCTTCCTTAGGAAACCTGTAAGTACTTTTATCGCTGTTTCTACTCTTTTTAGAGTGCTGATGACAGTAGTCTGAAAAGGATGGATTGAGATTTAAGCAGCAGAAGGAAGGGATTTGGGAGATTGCTACCGTTTGTTTGAACTTTCCCAGAAAAATAGTGGACAAATTTTATGAACACTAGAAGGAACCGAGTTGAATAGTAATTACCTTGGAATTACGAGTGTGTTGTGTCAGAGCTGTCAAATTTTTCTTGCAAATCTGCTGGGTAAGGGAAGATGAACAGATACTGTCCAGGTTGTTTGTCAAAAAAGTTTTTGTTGCTGTTTCTCATGACAGTCTGCAGGAGAGCATGGTCTAAGTTTGAAATTCCACAAGAGCTGTGCGCAGTTGTTTGGAAAACCATTCTGGTGTTACTACAAATGGGTGTATTGAGTGTACCCACTAGGACGATTGAAGTTTTATCCTAAATGACAGGTGGGCAATTTCCATTACATTTACCAGTGACCAACTATGAGAATGGATGAAGCACAGAGTAAGGTGGAATTGGAATTCAAAACCATCATGACAGTATCAGAAGTTGTCAGGGGAGAGGATGTCATGATTCAGCTGAAAGTCAGGCTAGGCCAAAGTGTACATTTGAGCAGGAATAATAGCCAAACAAAGGTCAACCAACAATGTCCTGCTAGTATGACAATGTTTCATTGGAAATCTTTCCTCAAATTCCTTGTTCTTTATTACACAAACAACAGTGACAGTGACTGGCTCAACCAGTGTCAATTTCTATGATGAAGTCTGGCGCCGAAATGATGTACACTACTGCAGGATTCAGTAATGTTGTAGTCCTTTCAGACATGCTTAAATCCTGTAATTAGGGAATTATTTAGGGAATGATTCTTGGCTCACTGAAGAGGAAGAAAATTTCTGCGAGTAATTCAGAGAAAATGAGTTAAGGGAAATTTTATGAGGACACACTTCGGAATTCTGGCCTATCACAAATTACCCAATAGTTAATTTTCATAAGAAGTTGTGTCTTCTAGAGCTGTCTTGCCTTTTCATGGTGAACTCAATAATGATCTTTTTAAAATAAGTGTGAAGTTTGAAACTAATAGTTCTTGAAAGCTGGGAACCCATCTGATTTAGTCACAAAATTTCAGTTCAACACATTGCTCTACATTAAAATGATAGATGTACGCCACTGAAGTTTGCGCTGCGATCAGGCACTATAGATACTGGATTTTTGCACCGTGGAGTGATTGTTTTTCTGCAAAAGCTGTAGTCTGAATCTCGCAGGTAAGATCGGCTGACAAGCACCAGTATGTCTGCTGGTAACTTCTACACATTAGTAGAGGAAGAGGGGATAGATTGCATATGTAATTTTCAGTCTGGAAGTGATTAACAAATACTCCACATTTTTAGTTTAGTTAAATCTTACAAAATGACAGTAATTCTAGCCTAGGTTTTACTACTTCAGAAAATTTCTTTTTTAATCTACAGGTGCATCAGAAAATGTTCAGAGATGTTAGAAAGTCTGTATGACAATCTTATTTAAAAAAAAAATCAAGGAGAACATAATGCGCATTGTGTATTGGCTGGTGGAAAATTACTAAATCTTGTATACGTCTCTAAGACAGTTTCAGCAATTTGAAGTTTGATATTGCTCTTAATAAGTACCAGTAATAGAGCTTAGCAGAAAATGTGAATATTGTGGAAATTCTTATGCTACACAGACTTCTTCAAAGAAATTAATTGATTCCATCTCTTAATCAGAAGTATATTTTCCACTGAAGCTTTTGTTTCTTGAATATATTCTAATTAAACAGGAAAACCTGTGATGCCAAGATTTAACAATTTCAGACTATGCCAAGTCATAAATTACAAGTTCATGGGTTTAGACACTTTGAAACAGTCGCAGATTGATCAACTTGATTTCCTCAGGCATTCTGCAGCTTTAAAGATTTGATCTGGTTTTCAAAGCTTGGGGGTGGGAGTGCATTGAACAATTTCAGGAGGTATGTTGTTACTTGCTTCAATGAAATCACGTTCTTGTAACACCATGCTTTTGAACAAATGTCCTATAGTAAGTTTTTGCTAACTTGTTGGAAAGATAGGCTTGTATGGGTGTTTAGGTATGGCCTAGGAAAAATGTCTAGTGTGACACGTGTCATTTATGTGGCTTGCTTCATCTCTCTAGAGGTACAGTGTGTGCTTGGGTAGAGGGAATGTCGACTTAAATCTTAGTCAAACGTGTAAGAATATAGAAATGTGGAAAAGTGAGCTTTTTTGTAAAAGTGAATTGGTTGACTCAAAACCGATAAAGCATCATTCCCTGATTCGGAAAAGCGTTGGGGAAGTACATTGGGATGAACCAAATTTGGATTTCCACAAATTTCTTTGAAGCGAGCCTGAGCATTAGGAGATGTCTGCTTAAGTTTTTATCTCATTTTTACTCTCTGGCTGAGCAGTAGGAGTGTAGGGCATCTGTTAATGTTCATGTTTATACTAACAAAGTAAGCAGGGCTGTGACAAGGATTGAGCACTGCCTTGTGGTAGTCTGCACTGTGTAATTGTTAGCATGCTTTCTGATCTTATTTTTCTATTTACTGCTCTCCCAAACGATTTCCAGATTCAGTACAGCTCCTTACAGAGATCATCCAGTAAACAAGTTAAATGCAAACACTATTTTTGAGGAGCAGGGAGAAGAGTTTAGCTGTGTGGACACAGGCTTTACATTTTTTTCCTACTGGATTAGGAATGACCTTTCTTTGTGTTGTAGATGTGGCTTGTGTCGTCTTTTAAGTTCTATTTTATATTCAGTGGGAAAGAAAACAGTCTGCACTCCTTCTGCAGAAGCCTTCCTTGGTGCCAGAGCCATGATATGATCAATATGTCCTGGGGTACCTCATGTATCTACTGCTTCTTGGTTGCTTTCTGGAGGAGAGGCAGGGAAAGCTGGCAGTGGATAGAGAGGGGGAGATAGCAGCAGGCCTGCTTGTAAGCAGTTCCTGATACTTCCTGTTTCCCACTCCCAGCATTGTGCTCTGGTAGCATTTCTATGCACCATTTGGTTTTGGTGCTCACAAATACGAGGTTGCCCAGAGAGGCTGTGGATGCCCCATCCCTGGAAGCGTTCAAGGCCAGGCTGGATGAGGCTTTGAGCAACCTGGTCTAGTGGAAGGTGTCCCTGCCCATGGCAGGGGGGTTGGAACTAGATGGTCTTTAAGGTCCTTTCCAACCCAAACCATTCTGTGATTCTGTACCTCTCCAGTCAGCTTTTAGCTCCTGTACCCATGCCCAGTCCCTCTGTCCCTGATCCACTCTAAATGCCATGGATTTGCTAAGTGCTTAACTTAGGCAACTTGGATCTGAGACAATAAACTGAAAATATATCAAATGAAACACCTCTCATTTGTGATCAGCAGTTTTCTGAGCTGTCACTTTGGTAAAGACTTTGTTCAGAGTAACTGTCTTTACTCCTACCCCCTTGGCACTTTATTAGGGGTCTGGTTGACTTAGTAGGACAAAAAAGCATGGGAAATAGAAGGGAATAGGAAAAATAAAAAGGCAACCCTGCCCCAAAAGTATTGTTACAAAAATATGAAAAGTACTTTTCACTCTCCTTTCATTTAAAAACTAAGCTAGTGGTCAGGGTTTGAGCAATCTTAAGGGTGGATTGTTAAGAAAATGTATCTTTGAAGGAAAATATTCCATAATTTTGATGGTTATACATGAATGTTTAGTATTTTTCCAAGCATTCTCCTCCCTCCACTGCAGTGTGTCTTCTTGGTACTTACTTTTCTAACTTCTGCAGAAAAATGTAAAATAATGCTTATTATAGCAATAACCAAATTCTGCCCTCTTAATAGAGGGCAAGTGGCTGCAGCCAAGGAAAGCTTTTCTTCAATATTTTTGTTAGAAAAGAAGAGGAATTATTTGGCAGCTAGCATTAGATTTTGTTCTCATATTTTCCAGTCTCTAAAGTAACTGGCAACAATTCCTCTTGCTCTGTATCATCTGTTTGCTGGCCTTAATGACTATATAAGGCAACATCGCCTAAATTAATAGTTCCAAACATACTTGGTTAATGAGTTTACCAGTCTCATATTTCTGAGTAATGCATGAAGTTATTGATGCTGAAAAGAGTTCTTACTTCAGATGAAACTTTTTAAAAAGTGTATTTTGTTACCATTGTGAAGAAGGTACTAAAAGTTTCATCAGGTTATAAAAAATTTCCAAATATATAAAAGATTTCAAGAGAGAGATGTATATTCTAATGTTTTGAAGTAGGATTTTAAATCTCTAAACTTCAGTGCTAGAGAGAAGTTAGCACTGTGTTTGTAGGCACAATTTTTTTGCATTACTTCTCATTATGTTAACATGATATATACCGTATCTTTTAGAATTAAGCATCACAGCACTAATCATTGTGATTTTTTGCTTCAATTACAGAAATATATATGGATAATAGCTGTACTTCAAATTGGTAATTTTCAAAAACTTGTTTAGTGCCATACTTAATATTGAAGGTATGCCCTAGCCCAACCCTTTTATCCTTTCAAAAAAAACTACAACAAAACAGACACATGAAAATACCAATACTACCAGTACTATTGTTCTACAGAAAACAATAGCTGGAAAACAGGATGTCTTCCAGGAAAAGTAGGCAACTTCTACAAAGCTCTCAGTTCTATACTCAGTTTTGCTCTCCACTTGCTTGACTTGGGCACCACTGCTCTCCCTTTGCTCATTTTACAGCTTGTGCCTGTCCTGTAGTTTGGATCTATTTATTATTGGTTTAGTTTCATTTATGTTGTCTTCCTTTGGAAAATTCAGTGCTGGATGTAACTTTCAAAATTGTCAGTACTGACGAAAATTAGACCCAAAAGGAGTGCTTGCACCAAGAATGAGTCCTATTGAAATGGCTGGAAAGAACCATGAAGTGGTTATGTAGAGTGCAGAAGAATTTTGGTTTGCTTTCAGTTGATGAAAAATGCCTTCAGAACACATGAAGGTGTCAGTGT